TCATTCAGCTTATAAGTAGCACGCTGGCAACTTGCCACTAAAATATAAATACATTAAATGTACTGAAGGAAATGTTCATTCTGTTGTTTAGCCTTGGACGTGCCCCAGTTAGGTAAATTTAATCTTCTCGAGGGTTGTTGCGTTACAGCTGAATGAGATAGGCTGTTATCTTATTACTGATCTTTCTGTCATTCAGGGTTCGTGTTCTGGCATTCATGGTGTGAAGTGTACTTGCCCAAGAGCGGTCCTAGAAGTGTTTTCCAAGGGAGATGAAGGTGCGTAGGGGATCTGTTAGCACCTCGCAAGTTTTGACCCTTTATCTTGGTAACGTTCACGCTCCTTGTCAGTCACACCACTACTGGTTCAACCTCCTGTTGGGTAGAAATGTACAAAATATTGGCTTTGCCTACGTTTGTTAGGAAATGTCTGAAACTCAGCCGAGTGGCATCTATTTTCTTCATGGGTATTTCTGCCTCAGTTCCTTCCAAAATCCCTGGCTGTGCCTCTGCTGCTGTTGAGGTCAGGGACAAAGCTCCCACTGACTCCAGGGTGAGCAGGGGCCAGCGTTAAGCAACAAACCCAAAGACGATGGATTGCATTAAAGAGGAGTCTCTTAATTGTTTTCCACTGGTGCTGGGTCAGATCCTTCAAGCACAATCTTACAGCATTAATGCTTGTGACTAATCCCACTGAAAACCAGGGAGCTGCTCCCATGTGTAAGTACTACCAAATTCAATGTGCAGCATTAATAAGCACTGAAACAGTTTAGCTCTTCTCTTGGTTGTACAGTGAAGGGACAAGATGAGGCAGGAAAAGGGAAACAGAAGGAATACATGAACAGAGAGATTCTGAGCTGATTGAGAGGAACAGTGATGTTTTATCTGGAATGCAAGTACTTAAAAAAATAAGACATCAGCTGTGTGTTTTACAGATAAGAAAATGTTATTTTATTGAACGGAAAGATATATATGTTTCACCTATCACATCTGAACTAATCAGTGTAGGCTTTTAGAAGAAGTCTGTAATTACTCTGAGCATGTCATTAGTTAGATATAAAATGAATGATATTGCTCCGTTTTATTACCTCTAGTGATATAGCCATTTGTATCATAAATTAATTGACCTCATCTTAAATGATCAATTCTGCAAGACAGACTTGATTCATTAATTCTTAAGTGACATTTTTTTCTCCTCCAGTAATTTCCTCTTCATTGTGGGGACTGTTTTTCTGCCTTTTAGTATGGTATTATGAGACGTCATATTACCTGCATATGATATGCACTTTTTATCCTTTTATCTTAACTAAGCAGCATAGACTGATTGCTTATGTAGAAAGAAAAGAAAGAAAGAGAGAGAGAGAAAGAAAGAGAGAGAGAGAAAGAAAGGGAGAAAGAAAGAAAGAAAGAAAGAAAGAAAGAAAGAAAGAAAGAAAGAAAGAAAGAAAGAAAGAAAGAAAGAAAAAGAAAGAAAGAAAGAAAGAAAAAGAAAGAAAGAAGGAAAGAAAGAAAGAAAGAAAGAAAGAAAGAAAGAAAGAAAGAAAGAAAGAAAGAAAGAAAGAAAGAAAGAAAGAAAGAAAGAAAGAAAAAGAAAGAAAGAAAGAAAGAAAGAAAGAGAAAATAATGAAATGCATGCACATAGTGGATAGACATTACTCACTGACATTAGCATCAACAGTCTGAGATGTTGCATGAAATCAATGAGATAGTTATTGGATATTTGGTCTCTCCAGGATATTCAGAGGAACAGATTTGCTGCCTTTAATTTCTGTGGCTTTAATTAATTTTATCTAGTGGTAAAATATACAGAAGGTTCTCTGATCAATATATGAGTGAGGCAGGCGGACTTCAGAGTTTCTTATTCCTCAGTGAATTATTGAAAACATGAGAAATCAGTGGAGAATTTCTAAGTGGGATTTCTAAATATTTTACTGAGGAAGAGAAAATATTTGTCTAGCCAGGAGAGATACAGGAGCCCACTGGAGATAAACAAATCAATACAGCAATAATACAGTGAAGTGTTTCAGTGAATTTTTCAAATGATAGCTAATGAAAGTAAATTATTAGAAAATATTCCACAGTTTTCGGGGGGCTGTATTTCTGTTTCAGTCCATTTAATTAAAGACATTGAGGGGGCTCTTCCTAGAAGGATAAGGAGGCTGGGTTTATTCTCTTATATTTCTCAGTTGCTTCTTTGGCAGTGGGCTTACAAGGTGGCTTGCTTCCTTGGCCCAAAGAAAAGGCAAGTCTTCACTGCAGCTGCATCTGAAGTCCTGCTCCATCCCTTACTGCAGGCATCCCTGAGGCCAGTTTCCTCCTTGTCTTTCCCCTGCAAACAGACAGTGATGGGCCAGCGTGGGCTTCAAACTGCACCAGCCTGCCTCAGGAGCTGTCTGGGAGCTCCTGATACTTCTTTGTGCAACTCCTAGGGTACATGTGGAGACCCCCTGCCTCTTTGCCAGGCCCTGGGGCAAGAGCATACCCTGCAAGCCACAAGCGGAGGGTGGTGGAGTACATTCTGATTCCAAACCTTATTAACACATGGTGTAGACTCACAAATTCCCCTTCTGTCTGCTTGGAAAACAAAGGCAAGCCAGAAAATTTCAGGAGGTCGATTAGAAGATGTTTCCATCACGTGTGCTGACTTGCCAGGTGGGTGGCAAAATGCATACCCATGCCAAGTGCCCAGGATGGTTCAGTGCTCACTGCTGTGTGTTTGCACTGTTTGCAGTGAGTGGTTGCTCAGCTTTGGTGCTGTCTGTGATGGTCACTGAACCTTCCTGTGGAGAGCAGAGAGGGAGATGATGCCCGGTAAAATCCAGAAGCTATTGGAAGTGGGGATGCCCCTCTTTGCCCTGCTTGATGCACTTCTATTTTCCCACCTACCCCACACCTAGGGGGATGTGTGCACTGTGGCAGCGTAGGCATTTGTCTCCACACTTCAGTGCATTTGACAGCCTTTTTGTCCACATATTTGAGGGTGCAACATCATCACTGTGCCCTCAATGCAGGGCTGGACTTGTTTGTAATGTACTGGGAAATTTTCTTCCTTGCATGGGACATCATGGTGGAAATACACCCTTCCTAATGCCACATGTATTGAGCAGCACCAGTAGCCCCTGTGCTTTATCTCACAGGGCACAGTGTTTGTGTGCCCAAGCTAAAAATCTGTGCCTGCCCTGCATTCATAAATTTCAGTGATGACTTAATAGTTGCTACTTCTTGATTGCTACTAAATTGATTATTTAGTTTGATTTAAAGGTTGGGATAAAAAAGAGAGAGAGTGTGTATGTGAGTGTGTGAAGAGCCAGGGGGAAGGCAGGAGGGAATCAAGCAGCAACCTGATTGGAGAACCAAAAGGCCAAGGAGTTAAATGGCCTAATACCCATAGCATATAGTGCGTATGTGTATATATATATTAAAGATATATTACTGAAAACTCAAGAGTGTCACCACTGTTTATATTAAAGGAAAGCTGAGAGTTAAATGAGATGAGTAATCAGATGCCCAACATATGTTGTTTTGAATTGTTTATATGGCCAATAGTTATTAAAATTAATTATCCTTTTAATGCAGTCTTTTCACAATCATAGTCTTCTTTGGGGTTTTTTGTTTTTGTTTTTTTTTTTCTTTGTGCAAAAGATATAGTCATTTCAAAACATGCTAATATGAGCTATTTGTAAAATGCAGAACAAATAATACCAGGATGTATTCTGACATGGTCATAGGCTCAACACGCTGATAAAAAGCACCAAAAGTCTCTGTCAGTGGAGTATTTTGAGAACTAATGTAAATGACAAAAATGGGGGGTTTTTGTGTGTGTAAAATTCTGTCAAAAAAGTGAGGCACTGCAAAATCTGACATCTGTTTATCTGTTTATAGCTATGGCAAGATTACTCATATTAATTCTTGTTTAAAATGCCATATGAAGGAAAGGCATTTGTGCAAACAAGAGTCATATTTGAATTGTAGATCATGTCTTCACCATCTGTGAGAGCTGTTGGTGTTGCAAAATTAATGTGTTAATGAAATCACAATAATTTCTCTGAAGTAATGGATTCTGAAGCCTAGATGACTATTTTTTGAACTTTGGTGTCTAGTGGCTTACAACTGGGAAAACCTTTCACAGCTTAATTAGTTCTGCAGCCTTATTTAAAAAAAAATTGGCTATGCCTCCACCACACCGATAGTAATACAGAAGAGGATTAAATGAAAAGCAGAGAAACAAAACAAAAATGAGCCTGCAGTGCAAACTTTTTGCTGTAGTATTTGAAAAGTTGCTAAACAGGTCCTTGCTTGCCAAGAAGTTTTACTCAAAGTGACTTGTACACAAGAGTGGGCAAACAGCTCAGAAAATAATTCCAGCTTGCTGAAACATCACAAATTGGGACTATTTGAACCTTACACAAATATCCTGATTTTTTCCAACTTTCCCCTTGGAACAAAGGGCAAAGAACAAATGATGCTTTTCGCTTCGTGATGCCGTTTCAAAATATCACACTCTTTCCAAGTTATTATTTGATACCCTGAATAGAATGCTGTATGTTACTGTGTCCTGCATTTTAGCAGAGCTGTTTTGCATTAATTTCCAGCAATTTTCTGAGTCCTTTTCCAGTTATCACACTCCTTGTATAATATGGCATCTCAGATGGCACAGGCGTGCATAGTTTACCACTGAGGAGTAATCACAGCCATACTCATACGGATTTTGCATACTTACATATGCATATTATAACAGTTTATACCAACTGAGGATTCTTCTCTGTGAGATACATAATGCATTGTATAAGGTAGAACTGAGATCATGTGAGCCAGAAAAGGGAGTGGCATTCAGTTCACCAATATGTTGGAGAAAAAATAAAAAGAAGTGCAGTTTTCTCAAATGTAACTTTTTTTCCTGTTAGAAAAATAATGTATTTAATAACTGGAAAATTACTTTTTAAATAATGCTATGGAGAGAAGATTGCTTTTCTTACCTGATTTGATTTTATTACTGTGTTGTAGGTATGTGACTGGTGTAAGCACATAAGACACACAAAAGAGTATCTGGATTTTGGGGACGGGGAAAGAAGGCTTCAGTTCTGCAGTGCAAAATGTCTCAATCAGTACAAAATGGACATTTTCTACAAAGAGACACAGGCCAATCTTCCAGCTGGACTGTGCAGCACATTACATCCTCCAGTCGAAAATAAAGCAGAAGGCACTGGGGTGCAGCTGCTGACTCCAGATTCTTGGAATATACCACTAGCAGATGCTCGGAGAAAAGCCCCATCCCCAGTGTCTGCAGCTGGCCAAATTCAAGGTCCTGGACCATCAGCATCTACCACTGCCTCTCCGTCTGACACTGCCAACTGCTCTGTCACTAAAATCCCTACACCAGTTCCCAAACCTATTCCCATCAGTGAGAATCCAAATATTCCACCAGTTTCTGTCCAGCCACCTGCCAGCATTGTGCCTCCAATTGGTGTCCCACCTCGCAGTCCTCCGATGGTGATGACAAACCGCGGGCCAGTTCCTCTGCCCATATTCATGGAACAGCAAATTATGCAGCAAATCCGTCCACCGTTTATTCGTGGGCCACCTCACCATGCCTCAAATCCTAACAGCCCTCTGTCAAATCCAATGATTCCTGGAATTGGTCCCCCACCAGGTGGTCCCAGAAATATGGGTCCCACTTCTAGCCCCATGCACAGGCCAATGCTCTCCCCCCATATCCATCCTCCCACAACACCTACCATGCCTGGGAATCCTCCTGGCTTGTTGCCGCCTCCCCCTCCTGGAGCTCCTTTGCCCAGTCTTCCCTTTCCCCCTGTCAGCATGATGCCAAATGGTCCTATGCCTATGCCACAGATGATGAACTTTGGATTGCCATCCCTTGCCCCGCTGGTGCCACCCCCAACTCTACTAGTGCCATATCCTGTCATTGTCCCTTTGCCCGTTCCCATCCCCATTCCCATCCCCATCCCTCACATCAATGACTCCAAACCCCCCAATGGCTTCTCCAGCAATGGTGAAAGCTTCATTCCGAGTACCTCCAGCGAGACGCCTGGGGCAAAGCCAGCCAATAGCTCTTCATCTCCTCGAGAGTCAAAGCAAGGATCGTCTAAATCCTCTGACTCATCGCCGAGCTGCTCAGGCCAGTCCCTTAATCAAGCTCAAGTGCTTCAGGAGCACAGTAAAAATGAAGTTGTTGACTTGACTGTCAGACCTAGTAGTCCAGTGAACAGTAAGTTTGGTTTCCCCAGTGTGCTGCAGGGTCCACAGGACGGTGTGATAGACCTAACAGTAGGCCACCGGTCTAGGCTGCACAACGTTATCCACAGGGCTTTACACGCCCAAGTGAAAGTTGAACGTGAACCTAACAGTGTTGTAAATTTGGCTTTTGGTAGCTCAGACAAAAGGAACTGCAGTGACTGCAGGGACAACTGCAGCCCAGTTGACTCAAAAACATTACCGTGCAGTGACGGAGCTCACTGCTGTCCCGTCTCCTTGGCCTCTGGCACGCCGGGACTGGAAGCTGGTGCAGCGGTGTGCAACGTCATTGTGAATGGCACAAAGAGCACAGAGGGTTCCAAGAACCTGGAGCTGCCCCAGGAGCCAAAAAAGCCCCAGCCTCCAGAGGAGCTGGTGGTGAGCGAGCTGGAGTCTGTTAAGGAGAACAACTGTGCATCAAACTGCCTCCTCGAGGGAGACGCTGGCAAGAAGACTGGGGAAGAGCCCCTTGCCGGGGGAGACAAACAGGACCCGAACCTTAACAATCCAGCAGATGAGGACCATGCATATGCTTTGCGGATGCTGCCCAAGACAGGTTGTGTGATCCAGCCTGTGCCAAAACCAGCAGAAAAGACTGCTATTGCACCGTGCATTATCTCAACACCAATACTCAGCACAGGGCCAGAGGATCTGGAGCCACCATTGAAAAGGAGGTGTCTCCGAATTCGAAATCAGAATAAGTAAAGGTTTGTGTGATCACTACTGCCTTCTGTGTGAATAGAACTGAGTATTTTCAGGTATGAGGTCAAACCCGTGTGGGTGTGGCTGTTATGAAACAAAAAGATACAAATTCTAATTTATCAGCACTTTCAGAAAACTATCGGGTTTTGTGTCTTAATATTGTTCTTTGTGTTGTATTGCATCTGTACTTGTCAGTTCTCCATCCATCAGTAGCCTCATTACACTTTTGCTCACAGAACATTTCATGATGATGCTGGCTGTGAAGTTATTGTGCTGTGTATGTCAAAGTGAGTGGTTTTCTGCCTAGAATATGGTTTAGGTCTGGGCCATTAATCTGCTTACTTATTCCAGCTGAGTTACACAGTAACTCAAGCCTTCATGATGATGATTGAAATTGCCCTGCAGCATAGCATAGAGCAGGACAACGCAGCTGCTTCCCGCTAGCTCAGATCCAATGGACTTAACAAATGGTCATCTCCAACCATCTTACTTTGGTCTGCTGCCAGACTGCACCCTGGCTTTCTGCTGGGCTGTCCTCTCTGAACAGCAATCAAGCCCCTCTCCCTGTGCTTGCCTTCCTCATGTATTGGTGCTTAGGGACTGCCTGCTGTTTGGGACCTGCCTGCTGTAGGTTATCACAGGGAAACCTCTGTCATGGGACTTTACTCCCCTACCTCAGGTATCTGCCTTGGGTGCAAGTCTCCCACCTTAGAAAAGCAGCTGAGGTTTCCCCCAACACATCTGGTATGTGTATGTGATTCCTGGTAGGGCTGCAAAGCAAGGCAGAGATATTTTAATATACACCTGATGTTTCAAAGCTGAGAACAAGAAACTGTTAAGGAAATGTCCCTGTCTGACCATCCAGGAGTCACTCCTGCAGTCACTCTCACACCACCTGAGATGGGATTAAAGTCTCTTGGCAGCTGCACAACCTGCACTCACACAGTTAGACCAGGTTTCCTTACTGGCTCGACCCCACGTTTCCCATAACAGAGTCTCAGATATCCGGATCTTTAAAATAATTTAGTCATGGTGCAATTTCTAAATAACAAAATAACAGCTCAAGCTGGGTACTTTTGAGGAGGGACCCAGAACAAAGGAACCTCTGGGCTTTAAACCCTTTACAGTCTAAATTATGCTGGAGAGTTGGGGGGTCATTGGCTCCTGTAGTGTCTCTGATTGTCCAGTCCCTGACTGGGCCTCACATCTTTGTTACACAAAGGGTCGGCAATTCATGGCCTCTTGCCTGGGGCTTGGGCTCCTGACCTCCAGAGCTCACCCTGCAGCTCCCCTGCAGCTGCACACTGAGCTACCTGCACTGAATGTATTCTTTGTCAGCATAATGTAATTGCATTTGTTTAGATTCACAAGCACAGAGAGCTTCTTTCAGGAAACAGGGAAATGGTGGGTGTTGCAAGAAATCTGTTCAGCACTAAAATACTGATGGCTTGCCGGATGTGGCTTGGTGACATGCCAGATTTCATTACAATCCATGAAATATTCTGCAGCCTCCAGTAAATCCCTGTCCCTGGTAGCACAAATGGTGACTGCAGTGGTGTTTGGCGCCTATAGCCATAGACAGCAGCAGCATGCAGTGGAATCTGGGCCACTGCAGTGTCTCCCTGCTCCATCAGTGCAGACTACTTGCACCATCAAAATATATAGTATAGTCAGGACTCCCTTTTTACTTGTTAACACCACATTCCTGGTTGCAGGTGCTGGTTGCAGTGCCAGAAACATTACTTCCCTTGATCACAAACTATTTATTTACTTTCTTCGGTGAAACACAACCATTATTCTTTGCTGTCAGCACATGCTGACACATTTAAATGATATGTTAGTAAGAACAGAGGACATAGTTATAGTTAACATCCTTGGACTCATAACCAATGTATACAATAACTCAGTAGTCAAATGAATATTTAAAATCATTACACATTCCTAGGTCCTACTAGTGGGCATCCCCCTACCCCATACCCTGAGGTATGGGTGGACTAAATGTCCCTCAGCAGTGAGATCTTTATTGCAAACCTCAGTGTTACCTCTGGAGCTTGAAAGATTCTCTTCATAAATGTACACATGCTTCTATCTAGGAGTAGTGATTTGATCTGGTGAGAAGGCCACTGTTTGGCTCTATCCTTCTTTAGAATTTTAGGAGAGCCATGATTAACTCTTTCTTTCCCATCTTATTCAACCTCCTCATAGCTGTTTCAAGCCAGTTCTAGGACACTTGCACATTTATGTGCTTAGGCTGTAGTCAAAACAGGCTGATTCTTAGCATCTATTTCTGCTTGCCTGGACCATCCAGACTGCAGCAATGCCATTTTGACGAGGTCCCAGTCCCAGGAGGAGTTTAGTGTTATTCAGAGCCAGAGCTTAAAACCTCAGAGACAGTTCTGGCTTCACCGAGTTATGTATTTTTGCCTGTTGACGTGATTATACATGGCATCACTTCACAGATAGCATTTGACAGAGAAAGTGGGGAAACTGAACAAGCTGCATTGGAAAGACAAGAAGGATGCTTTATCACTCAGTTACTGTCCTCAGCTCTTTGTATTCTCTACATGTCAATAAGTACCACTGTGGTTATCCTCAGGAATAACCATTTTCCCATTCACCGAGAGTTTTGCATATTCCTTTGTCTCAGTGCGAGGGTTGTTTTACAGAAAAGTTTTCAGGTTGCCAGGCAAGATTCATCTGACCCCATATAGACATCTGGAACAAAGACACAGCTGAGCTAATTGTCTAAACTCTCTTTAAAATCAACCTAGAGAAGCAGGCACTTCAAGAGACAGCTGAGCTCATCCTGAAGTCACCAACTAAGACAGCTCAGACAAACTGTGCCCTAGGAGTGCCTATTTCTCCCTGCTGTGAAGGAAACTTAGGGTGACTGGCACAGACACAGATGTCCCCATAGACACTGAGAGTTAAAAAGCCCAGCCTAGGCGTCTGCCGTACCTCTGGGGTTTGTGCAATAGCAGAGCATGGCCTGGTGATGTCTATTAGTTAGTCTGTGTTTGCCAGCTCCTTCCTCCAGTAAAAGAAAAGAAGTAGCCTCTAAGCAGAAGAGATGTGAGACCAGGTCCTTATGTGCTTCAGGGGAAAGAGGATACCCCAAATACTCTGTAGAAATAAACAGCAGGGTCACCATCTCATTCCAGTGGGTACCACAGTGAAATGTGGGTCAGTTTTGAGCCTCTCAAGCACGCACAAGTGATTTATGCAGTTCTGATGACTGATTTGAGGTGAGGACTCTGTGGTTTCATGCAGAGCCCTCCTTTCACTGTTGCTGGTCATAGCCAGTCTGGAGGAGGAAAGGGGCTGCTTAGATTTCCTCCCTCCCTGCCTGTTAAAACTGCACAGGACTCAGACCTGTCTGTGTCTATACAGAGGGGGCAAGCAGAGGGAGGAGAAATTGGTGCAGCCTCTTGCACCACAGCCCTGACCTCTGCTGTGCCCATGGGTTAGTTCCTCCTGCCCAGGCCTGGGGAAGAACAGCGGTAAAACCCTGCTCCTTGGGCTGTCCTGATGTGGGGGCGATCCCTCAAGAGAGACTCACAACCTCATAGAAACTCTGATAAAATACGAGGAGGGCAGAAACTGCACCAATAATTGTGTTGGCTTGGACCCTTGGAGGTTTGTATTTGTTACACTGGCCACACCAACCTGGGAGAAAAAAAGTCCAGCAAGTTGTCTTTTTCTCTCTTGCCTCTCCCCTACCCTAACTGGAAAATCTGAACATATTGCCCTAATGTGCAACTTTTCCTGGATTTTATTTCCCATCAAACTGTATGACAAGAAGGAAAATAGCCAAATATTTTTATGCTAGAATTCTGGACAGACAGATTGAATTCATATAATAGCAACATGGACTCTCTAAAAAGGAATCCAAGCGTGACCTTTTTGGGCAAGTTGACAAACTCTGGATTATTTCATGTACCAATTACTTGATTATTAGAAGTGCTAATCAACAACATAATCCTTGATGTTAAAGTTTAGTCTCTCCATCAGGATGTGGACTGTCAAGCTGTTCTGTCTTGATGCAATTTGAAGAACTAGCAAAAGATGTTTTGGTGCCAAAGTCCCACTATGATAAAGGAATGAAGCTAGGGAGAATATTCTGTTGAGTGTTATTTTTTCAAGTTTGAGCTATGTGAGTTTATAAAATTAGCAGTGTTAGTGTTGCCTGCTAGGTGCTTTATGTCCTGGTGGGATCAGTTTTAACCCTCCAGCTTTGATGTTGAGCAAATAAAGACAAACACTGACATCTGCTCGTATTTGACGTGATAGTTATGATAAACTGGATTAGAAAATTAAGTGGCACATGCTAAACTCACAACTAGCTTCTATGTATGTGTATGCATGGTGGCTAATCCTACTTTGGGGACAGAGGGGTAAGAAAAGGAAGGAACTTCTCTGATTGTGTCAGCAGAACTTCTTCCAGAAGTAATGGAAATAGTAGCCACCTACATAGCCAACCTGTATGTCCTGGGGTCAGCATCTGCCAAGTTATAGGCCAAACCTTCATCTGTCTAGTCCATGCATCGTAGTCGTAAAAATATACAGCATGCAGAACCACTGCAGTTCAGAGCAGAGGTAATCTATATCCCACTGTGAGCTCCTCTGCCCATAATGGTCCAGCACAAGATTTCCTGCTATGGTCAGGATCCCTGAGACAAGGGGCATAGCTATTAACCTCTTTTTCTGCCCTAAGAGACTTTATCTCTCCCCTGTGACTGTATCCATCTAGCAACATCTTACCCTACCCTGCTTGCTATGAACAGGACAGAATTTGACCTTAAAGGTATACTTGAAAACAGATTTTGTATATTTAAACACATTTCCATGCTGCTCATCTTTATTGACACAGTATTATGGGCCAGAGCTTTAGCTAATTTTAACGGAATATGGTTCCACTGATGCTAAACTAATCTAAATCAACAGAGTAATTGGACTTATACACATAACACCTACTCTTCTGCTTCAGAAGTTTTCCTTCACCTGGCATCTTATGAGCCTACAGAAATTTTCCATTTATCCCAAGGGGGAGAGGAGA